GCTGGTGTGCTGGAAGGTTTGAGAAGCTGAAGAGTTGGTAGTGTGTAGTTGATTAACTCTGACCATGGTTTGAGCTTTAAAGTGTTTTTGTTGCGAACTAGTGTTAGGGGCTTAAGGTTATTGGTTGACATAGGAGTGGGAGATTGTGTTGTGATATTAGGCTGAAACAGTGAGCTAAATGTAGTGAAATGAAGACGGGAGGTTGGAAGACAGCTAAGTTAGACAACAAGGACCCTTTACAAGGGTTAGTCTGGAAATATTTATAAACCTATATTTCCTGGTCTTAGAAACTACAAATAGCCTTGAGTAGTAGTTATTTCAGATATTTACAAGTTCAAGCAGGACATCCATACCTCACTGTAAGCCGCCCTTTCTTTAATTAGCAATTATAGTGTAAACCTATGAGTGCTCTCCTGCCCTAACTCTGTCTCCTCGCTCTTCCAATAGAAGAGGGAAATGTGGTGAAATGAAGACGGGAGGTCGGAAGACAACTAAGTTAGACAACAAGGACCCTTGGCAAGGGTTATTCTGAAAATATTTATAAACCTATATTTCATGATCTTAAAAACTGCAAATAGCCTTGAGTAGTAGTTATTTCAGATATTTACAAGTTCAAGCAGGACATCCATACCTAACTGTAAGCCGCCCTTTCTTTAATTAGCTATTATAGTGTAAACCTATTGGTGCCCTCCTGCCCTAACTCTGTCTCCTCCCTCTTCCAATAGAATTCATCCTTCGTTGCACGATTTTAACAGTCTATGGTCCGCATCCTTTATAGTGTCAAGATTTGCATTCTTTAATTAGCTATTATAGTGTAAACCATTGTTAGTGTTGTAATATGTTTTAATGGCTTATTTGTCTGGCTATACTTATTGCTAGTTGGTGTATGCTTTTCTATTACATTTAATTTAATTTCTTAGCATTTTTGTCCTAGAATTTTTTATTATTATTATTAGATGCCCTTGCAGAGATCAGGTTTTTCTCTATGGTTCTGTTTTTGCAGGTTAAGAATTTGACAAATAACATTCAGTTGATATTGGATTCCTTGAGAACTTCAGCTGTTGTAGAAGTACAGGTAACTTATGTGTGTTTGTTGTATATATCCGTCTAAAGCATCACAAATGCCTCACTGGAAATGGGTGACTTGACACCTAATGACTATCATTTTTGTGCTGTTCTTACCTTGTTTATTGCTGCAGGAGGAAAAGGTGAGGAGGCGTAATGACTGGATGAAGTATATTCCGCCTTCCAGTCGGGTTCTCACTGAGTCAGGACTAGCCTCTCCGAGTGGATCAAGTTATGGAGTGCTCACAACTGCATTTCAGAAGATCACAGTGGAAGGAGAAGATAATGCAAACCCTCACTCTGAAGATGCTTCAAGAAGACAATTCTCTGAATCGACTGGCCAGTCAAAACTCTGCAATGGAGATGGTTCTGAAGTTACATTATCAAACGAAAACTGAATTATGTAAGCCCCACTAAGTTAAAGCGCAATTCTATTGGATGGTGCTTGTTTTTGAAAGGGAGGGGGGCTGCTGCCATGAAAGGTGTATGAACATCTTTCTTTCTCTGTGGCAATTCTCAAATTTTGGAGGAGTATTTTGCCGAGACAAGTTGAGGGAGTGAAAGAAATATATATAAATTATTTTTGGAATATAAAGAAAGAGAACAAAGTGAGACAAGAACAGCTTAAGATCATTGACTGGGTTGAATTATGAGGTTATTGCGTTGTATAGTTTGATATTTTGGATGGTTTTGTTCTTATTATTTGATGATTTCTTGTGGAATGGATAGTCATAGCATCCAAGAGAATTTCACAATTTTTACCTTGGCTATCAAATGTTTAGGTCCATAAACTCCAGATCTTGGGGGGTGGATTTAAACTGCTTTTCCATTTATTGTTTTTTACCATAAATGGGTTGATTTTCACCTATTTCTGCCGTCCAAGCCTCATGAGTCATGAGTAGTTAAAAGTTTTTTTTATCTATTTCTTATTCCCTTTTCAGTTAAACTTCTTATTATGCCTTGTCATTTGGCGAAGAGACGTGCATAAAGATTGCGACAATTAAAGGTTCTCTTTTTACGCGGTTTAAAAATGGTGAATACAACCTCAAATTTGATCTATTTCAATTAGGGAAAATGGATGGTTGTACAAATGGTGAATTCTATCCTTTGAGCTCTAAGATTTCTACTGTACCCATAATCCATTATCCATATTGTAAATATACTAAATGCAATACACCACTATTTGTGCCTCCATTCAAGGGTATTAATTAATGAATAAGGAGTTAGTTACCTCCCAAGGTAATAAATAACAATGAAATCTTTATAATCCAATAACGCTTATACACATTTTCAATTTAAATAATGTTAGTTTTACTCATTCTCTCTACTCACTTCTCGTATTTATCTTTGTTAAAATATTAATTTTATCTATTTTTTCACTTTTTTAATAAAAGTAATTAAGAGAAATGGGCTGAGTAAGATTGGCATTATCCTTTCAATTTTAAGGAAGCCAAAGTTACTGGGAGCAGGTGTTGTGTTTAGTTAAGTTGAGGACAGATGGCCAAGCGTGGTAGTTGATAAATTAGTTTTGTCAGCTTTGTTCAGGCAGGGAAAGGGGACCCCGCCCCCGGTACATAAAATTTATTAAAATTAGCTATGGTGGCACTTGTGGTTCCAAGAAGGATTCAGAAGTTTAGATTTGGGGTTGGAGTTGGACAAGTTACTACTGTTTAAAACTGTTGTTAGTGGGGTGAAATGAAAAAAGAGCTTGTACTCGATGTATTTTGCATCAGAGCTCTGCTGAGCTGACAGCTGTTTGTATCAACCATCAGATATTTGACACCACTTTCTGACTTGCTATTTTACTACTGTTCAACTTGATAGTTGGGCTTGATTGGATCACTATTCTTATTTTTTTAGAACAGTATTAAAAAAAATTAAAATAAGTTATTTTACGGAAAAAAATAATTATTAATTTTTTTAAAGTTAATAAAATAGAATTAGATTTTATAAATATTAAACTAAATATATTTTTATATTTTTAAAATATGATAGAATAATAATAATGAAATTTTTGCACAAAGTTAGTAAAAATCATATCATAATGTCTTCCCTTCCCAACCCCCATACCAATACTCCTCCCTACACCTTTCAGATTTCAGGCATTTCTTCTTCACTAGTTTAGTAAATGCAGGGCCTTTGCATTCGGTGAAATGTCTGTACTGTCCCTGGTATTCACAAATAATTTTATCAATACGTGATCATTACAACTTAGCATAAAAACTTAAAACCACCTGTGGATAATTGCAAATGGAGAAGAGTCGGTTAAAGAAATATATCGCTAATTAATACGGCTCCTGTTATTCATAGCCATACACTTGTCCTGGGATATTGTCTAAAAGATTTTTGGTGCAATGAATTTGTAATATAACCAATGAAGATTTTTGCTCCTAAAACTTTATTAAAGTAAGCACGTCTGTGTAAAAAATGACAGACTTCTGGGGGGAATCTCTTTGAGTGCAACGGCTGTAGATTGCTGTCAAATAACAGCCACACATCTCTGTAGAATCCAAATGTGTACGCTTGTATATTTCATGATTTCTCTGGTTTTTAACTTGCATTTCGTCTCTCCTCATAATTATCATATCTATTTGTTACAAGAACGAATAAAGGCAACACATCATAAAAACTCTACTTAACCTAGAATTAGCTTCTTCTTTTCTTTTTTCCTGCAAAGAAAAACTAAAGTTATTCTGGAAAAGATAAAGTAGAAACGGGTAAGAAATTCTGTGTGGTCACCCTTAGCCATTAGATCATAGACCATTTTTCAGTTATTCATCTTGAAACAGGTATGGTTTTGACTAGAAATAGAAAATGGCATGTACTGTTATCAGAATTATATCTTCCAATCCACGTTAGGAACTCTACACATAAATTTTAAAATATTAAATTCACTCACCATTCCCAGTTTGGTAAAATGGTGCAAACTTTTGAATACTAAACAAAACAGTCACTGTTTTCTCTTCGTTTCCTTTCAATCAACCAATACAAAAACATATTTGGTGACTTCAAAAAACACTTGCTTCAACTCAGTACCCACTGTTCTACGATATAATAGCATTGCAACTAGAAAGTACTGAGTCGCACCAGTCATTTTTCCTTTTATTTTATATTTACTAATATAAGATTTTTTGAAAAAGATTATATTTATTTCCCTATCATTTCCAAAATACTATATTTTATTTTAATTACTTTTAAACCTCTTAAGTTTGTTAATTTAGTTAAACACCCCCAAAAAAGTTTTGAAATTGACAAAAATACATTCACCCACCCACATTTACCATATTCTGGCCACCTTTGCCGAAGGTGGTTAAAATCTGGTATAATGCTACACTACCGGTTGAATCTGACCGATAGTGCACCGACATACCATTTTTCATTCATATCTACCGTAGATTTGATCAGAAAAGTCCAAATCTACAGCCAAAGATCTGGTTGTTAACAGCCAGATCTTTAGTCGTAGCTAGTTGTCAACAACGACCATATATTTGATAGTTACGTGGCCAGATCTGACTGTTATTGGTCAGATCTAATTATAGATCTGACATTTTCTAACTAGATTTACGATGAATATGGCTGAAAAAAACTACTTCGACGTATGATCGATCAGATCCAATCGGTCGTGAGTTGATATGACGACTTTGGCCACCCTCCCACGACGATGACTGTCGATATTTAATAAATGAGTTAGAGTATTAAAAATTAACAAACCTAACAGATATTTTTATTAATTTTTAAATCTTATCATCCAATTTTACTTTTTCGAAAATAATATCCAAAATTCAAAAACAAACCACCCTGTATAAGAGGCTTCGTCCTTTGAATATGAATAGGGTCATCAAAAGAAGTATCACTCAAATCCAATTTCTGCAGTTTATTTTTTATTTAAAACATATAGTACATATTTGCGTATGACACAACTTCCACAAACCAGAACTAGACGGCTAATGCATCTCTCCTCTCCCATTCTATGCCTTAGCTTGTTTCTTTCTCGTTGGCAGTGAACCATGTGGCCATCATCTGGTAGACACAACCATAGCAGTAGTTCGCCTTCAAAATCAAAAGCTTCCTCCTCTACTTCCTCATCTCCAGCACCTTTCTCTCCAACATCTTCATCTCCAACCAAAACAACCATGGAAGAAGTTTGGAGAGATATTAGCTTATCTTCTCTAAATGATCACTCTAACTCAACCCTCACCAACACTTACAACAACCACAACCACAACCACAACAACCAGCACTCAGGCTATCCCAGTTTAATACTTCAAGACTTCTTGGCCAGACCCTTCAACAATGATCCACCAGCCAGAGGTCCCTCTACTGAACCAACTTTTCCTTCTTTGAAGCCACCTCTTGCCACCATGTTGAGCTTGAATTCTGGTTCTGGTTCTGGTTCAGATGTTCAATATTCTGAACCCAGTGCTCCGGATCCTGTAAGGCCAAACCAGCAGTTAAATGGTCATACAAATTGTGGTACTTGCTCTTTTGGTTGTTCTCACAACACTGTTTTGGATGCTATGGGTTCTCCAACCGTGTTTCCTCCATATTGCAAGAAAAGGGTCTCAGAAAATGACGATTATTCTGACGACCGGCGACACAAGCGCATGATCAAGAACAGAGAGTCAGCCGCTCGGTCTAGAGCTAGAAAGCAGGAATCTTTCTGTCCTTTTTCACTCTCTTTGTAAATGTGTTTGTGTGTGGGTGGTTAAATTTCTCAACTTGATGGTTGATTTCATTGGGTGATTTAGTTTGAGATCTTTGTGCATGCAGGCTTACACAAATGAGTTGGAAAATGAAGTTGCCCATTTGCTGGAAGAGAATGCTAAGCTGAAAAGGCAGCAAGAGAAGGTCAATTGTTTTTGTTTCCTCATTTTGACATTTTTATTAATACTTAAACAAACAAAGAGATCTAAGTAGGCCTATTGTTTATCATGGTATTTGCAGTTATTGGCGGCTTCTGCTCTGCTTCCAAAAAAGAACACACTCTGTAGAACCTCAACTGCTCCATTTTGAGAAGTAAGAACTAAGAATACAGCATTTTTGTTTTAGTTATTTTTTGCCTTTTATTCATCCATTTGACTTGCACGATAATTTCTCAATTAAGAAATAAAGAAACTAAGAAAGAGATATTTATCTATATATAAAATTTAACTTAAAATATATGAAAAAGGGAAAGTGAGGGGAAGAGAGAGAGAGTGAGTGTGTATATCTGTGATATTTTATGTAGATTACAATGGGGCTTGATCTTTGATCTTTTTGTTAGATGCATCTCTATCAAGCGGTTGTAAAGGAAGGAGAAAAAAAAAAAAAGAAAAAAAAAAAAAGAAAGAGAAGAAGGTTACGTTGATGATCCCAACCTGCAGGACAAGGACCAATGGCGGGGATTTTGTAACTTTTTGTGTCCATGCCTGTGTAGCTAGAACCCCGTCTTTTTGTTCATGTTGCTTTTTCTTAAGGTGATGCTGCTGCGGCTTCGGAGAAGGATATGAAAATATGATAATTTGTTGATGGAAAAAAACATTTGCTAGCTATTATGTTTGCCTATATAAAGATGTGCAGTATGAAGATAGGAAATGTTTGGCTATGAATATACATCAACCTGCATCTTCTTCTCTTATTACTATTTCTTTATTATCTTATCTTCCTGATTCTTACTTCTCATCATTGTTGAAGTAGATTATCTTTTTGTGGGTTCTTTAGATAATTGCTTAAAAGTATTGCGAAGCAAATGGCGATGGGGGTTTGGTGAGTATGGTCAATGCCCACAATAAGTTACAAGAGTGTACGATGTTTTCTGATTAAAACTTAAATTATAAGCGAGTTAAGTAAAAGAAAAACAAAACGACAAAAGTTCAAATCAAAATCAAATCAGGTGTTAAGTGAATGGGTGATGCTGATGCATTGCAGCCAACTGACAAGCATAGAATAATTGCACCTCTTGCTCTTGTTGTTTAGCTTAGCTAGGCGAGGCAGCGCAGCTCCTCTCACTGAGTGTGAGAGGCTGTACAAGGCCGACTATGAAGAAGGCTAGAGTCGCCCTTACCAGTAAAATTATTTAAATGGATGGACCTTTTGTGCAGGCATGTGCCCTTCGCTTTCTTCCAGTTTAAACGCTACAAAACAACATATAGTAGTAACATTTTCTCCCTCTATTATAGGATCACTTCTTTTTATTCACCATTTCTTCCGTAAAAGGTATGTTCTGTTGCTATTGCATTGGTTGAAGGAATCTGAAGGGAGAGAAGGAAGTCCTGGTTTTTGTATTTCGTGGCGGAAAGGCAATTGGTTTGGTCCTACATATTTTGCTTATGTGTAATTTCGTATGAGTCTTTGCTTTGGCCCACGGGCCATGATTTGGGCTTTGAGATATGCATTGGGCCCACTCATCACGTGGATGATAGCATCCCACGGTTGGAATCGTTTGTTTCTATTCTCTTTTTCTATTTCTTTGAAAGTCAGACACTAGTGTTTTTTCTCGATTGGTGAAATTGTCTTTTCGGATTTTATGTCTAACCTTTTGATGGTGAAGCCATCAAGATAATTGGATGACAATAGATTAAGATATTTTATGGTGTTCCCTAGGGTTGTGTGCGAGTCGAGCTGCTCGTAGGTAGCTTGCGGCTCGGCTTGACAAAATTCGAGTCGAGCTCAAGCTCGAACGACTTGATTATCCATCGAATTGAGTCTCGAGCCACCAAGTACTCGGCTCGATAGGCTCACAAACGGCTCGAAAGGGTATAAGTGCAATGTTTTCAAGTATGGGGGGATATATGTTATTTAACATTTACTATATAAATTATTCCAAACTACAAAAACCCTAGAGTCTTCTACTTCCGTAGTTGACACTCCTCCTTCTCTCCTCTTTTTCTCTTTTCTATTTTCCTTCTTCTTCTTGTCTTCTCTTTTGTCTTTCTTGTCTCTCCTTCTCTTTTTCTCTTTTCTCTTTTCTCTTTTCTCTTTTCCTTCTTCTTCTTGTCTTCTCTCTTCTCTTTCCTGTCTCGCTCCTTCCTTAACCAAGCTGCCTTTTCTTCTGCGAAATGCTTCACACGTTGAAGTGATTGAAAGTAGTAATTCCACAAATGGGTTTGATTTGTTAAATTATTTTATGGTGGATTTGAGTTCATCTTTTGTTCACGAAAGAAAGAGGATGTGATCTTTTGTTTGTGATTTATTTATAGTTATAAATGTTATTTTGATGTGAAAATTTGGGTGGGTATTTTGGTAGATGGGTGTACTGTAATTTTGATGGCACAGACAAAACTCAAAACTTTTGATTTTGATTGTTAATACTATAATTTTGTTCAAGAGGAAGAGGAAGAAACAGTGAGCCAAGCTCGAGTCGAACTGGAGCTCAGCAAATCATCTCGAGCCGAGCTTCGAGCCTGGTTTTCAGAGCTGGATGAACCCAAGCTCAAGCTCGAGCTCGCTAATTTTCACGAGCCGAGCTTCGAGCACTGTGGTGTTTGGCTTGGCTCGGCTTGTATACAGCCTTAGTGTTCCCTTGAGTTTACCCAATCTTAGAACAAAGATATTGACTACGAACTTCAATGCGTGTATCAATGCCACCACGTGGATGATAGCATCTCACGGTTGGAATCGTTTGTTTCTACTCTCTTTTTCTATTTATTTGAAAGTTAAGACTCCAGTGTTTTTCTTGATTAGTGAAATTGTCTTTTCAGATTTTATGTCCAACCCTCTTATGGTGAAGCCATCGAGATAATTGGATGAAAATAGATTAAGATATTTTTATGGTGTTCCCATGAGTTTACCCAATGTTAGGGCGAGGATATTGACTACCAACTTTAATGGTGTATCAATGTCACTTTCCTAAAAGAAATTTCGCCCCTTTATAGTGCAAATAAGATCAATGAATTTCTTTAGGATACAATGAAGAATCAGCTTATGTTTTGCACAAAACAAAAGCGGATTAGAGAATGTTTTGATTATATTAGAATTGTAGTCTTTTTTGTCCTGTCTTTTTATAGTAAATCTTACTTCTTATATAGGATTGTTAGTACCTTTTGGAAAACCCTTTGAGATATGAGCACAACTTTTTGCTTTTGATAATAGACATGCCCAATTAGGAAAATGTTTCACAATCCCTTGCAAGTTTTCTAATTTGATAATACATGCTAGGTTCTACAACAATTCTATAAGTAATATGCATAAATAATGGTATTTTGCAATTTGAACCATTACATAGTGAAAGTTTATTACAACAAATCTGAATAATATGGTAGACAAGTTTTTAACTATACAATCTTTTTGACAAGTTGTATAAAAGTTCACACATATCACTTTGATACCAAAACATTTCAATCGTGGTTGTGTTTTTCTTGATTAGTGAAATTGTCTTTTCGGATTTATGTCCAACCCTCTTATGGTGAAGCCATCAAGATAATTGGATGAAAATAGATTAAGATATTTTTATGGTCCCATGAGTTTACCCAATGTTAGGGCGAGGATATTGACTACCAACTTTAATGGTGTATCAATGCCACTTTCTTAAAGGAAATTTCGCCCCTTTATAATGCAAATAAGATCAATGAATTTCTTTAGGATACAATGAAGAATCAGCTTATGTTTTGCACAAAATAGAAGCGGATTAGAGAGTGTTTGATTATACTAGAATTGTAGTCTTTTTTGTTGTGTCTTTTTATAGAAAATCTTACTTTTTATATATGATTGTTAGTACCTTTTGGAAAACCCTTTGAGATATGAGCACAACTTTTTGCTTTTGATAATAGACATGCCCAATTAGGAAAATGTTTCACAATCCCTCGCAAGTTTTCTAATTTGATAATACATGCTAGATTCTACAACAATTTTATAAGTAATATGCATAAATAATGGTATTTTGCAATTTGAACCATTAAATAGTGAAAGTTTATTACAACAAATCTGAATAATATGGTAGACAAGCTTTTAACCATACAATCTTTTTGACAAGTTGTATAAAAGTTCACAAATATCACTTTGATACCAAAACATTTCAATCGTGGTTGACACGTAAAAGGCCATGTGTTCGTATCATTCATGAGAGATTTTAGAGCCAAGCCTTTAAGCTCCTAGAAGCGGCACCACTTCACTGTCATATAGGTAGACTCTATCAAAAGTGCCCCCTCTATTTTAGCACTTTGATAAAAAATCATCAATAGGTCTATTAAGAGTAAATCTCAACCTTCCTTTTAACACTACGAGAACTAAGTACTATTTTTTGCTTTTGGATATTAGAGAAAATTTATAATACTTCTAACCACTTTAATAATGTACTTTGATTGACTGAACTCTAGACATGATGTATCAAGCGTTAAGTTGAGTTTCCATTATTGGTGATTATATTCAATAGGCTTCAGACTCATCCCTTTTAATGTTTTATTTATCAAGTCTTTCTTTAATCCCTTTGTTAAAGGATCGACTAGATTCAGACTTGACTTGACATAGTTAATTGTGATTTCTTTATTTGAGATTAAATCTCTTAAATAACTATGTCTAAGTCTAATGTGTCTTGACTTTCCATTATACACATGGTTATAAGCTCTTGACAATGTAGCTTCACTGTCATAATGTATATAAATTGGTGTTATTGGTTTTGGCCCTAATGGTAGCTTAATAATCTTTTAACACCATGCTAGTGTAAATTACTTGCATTATTGGTGTATCTACTTAGACTTTGTTCTTTTAATTTGTAGATCTAATCTAACTATGCCATGCAATCTTCTAAAATTTAAATGTCCAAGTTTATAATGCCATAAAAATTCAGAATCAATAATATAAGTAGAAGCAACTTTATTATTGTCATTGGCAATATTGAGTTTGAATATGCCATCACACAAGTAACCTTTCACAACAAACATGCTCCCTTTGGATAGAACAAAATTATCTGTCTCAAATACAAGTTTGAACCCAAATTTGTTCAATAAACTACCAGATGCAAGATTCTTTCTAACCTTTTGTACATAATACACATTCATTAATGTTAATTTCTTACCAAATGTAAATTCTAACTCTACTTTTCCTATTTCCTTGACTTAGGCAATATAGGAGTTTCCCATGAACAACACCATGCCATCTTGCACTGGTTCAATGGATTTGAAAAAATCCTTATTCTTGCAGACATGTCTTGTCGCACCAGAATCAACCCACCATGCATAATTATCTTCTAGTAGATTGATCTCATAAATCATTGCTACTAAGTTCTCATTTTTTGTACTAGTAGAGCACTTCTCCTTCTTTTTCTAGAATCGATAATTCTTCTTGAAGTGGCCATGTTTTCCACAAAAGAAACATTTTGCTTCTTTCTTTGGTTTCTTGCTTTTATGTC